TAGAAGCCCTTATCCTATTCTCCTTAGGGTCCCTACTGTAGCTCTATATATACAACATTAGGCTCATGGAAGAAGAGAAGAATTCCACAATTTGGAAAATTCGTCCCCCCCCTCTCTCTCTCTCTTCCAAGGAGTAGTTCTATTTCTTGTGCTCCACTGATACAAGATCTAGATAGCTGTTTGAGAATACAGTAGAAGATCTTAAGGTATATACTATCAGACATCCAAACCGGAGACCAAAACCAGCAAGTGACCATACCACGGCGATCAGGACGACGAGACGAAGAGATCGGCGTCGAGATCACCGCCAGCCCCCGCCGCACGCGCCCGCACGCGCCACCGGAAGGTTGCAGTAGCAGGGACTTACTCGCGCGCGTGAGAGCGCGTGAACGCTCCATTTTCTGATCGGTCAATGCCGTTGACTTCGCCGTGACGCCAGCCTTCCGGATTGGTCAAGTTTGTTCGATTCCGAGAAGATTTTAGTTGCGGTCAACTGTTCGGGCCAGCCAGATCTACATAAATTTTCAGCAGTAAGTTTTCTTCATCAAACCTTTAGATCCGCTGCGCATAGGTTTATGTTGAATGTTTGTCCGTGATTTGTGCATATCGAGATCCTCATATGTCCCAACAATGTAGACACGACCGCCTGGAACGGTTCAGCCCTGTTTGCCCCAAAATGATATTATACGACGACTCTGCACCAGCAACCGCGAAGCGCACCATTCTGACTTTCCGAGTATCGCCCGACCCCAATGCCACAGTTAGACTTACCTCGCCCATTGGCATCACCTCTCCTCCGTTGAAGCCATACAATGCTGTCGCTACCAGTTTCAATTCCAGATTCAAATGCTTGTTGATTTGGGCGAAACAGTCATAGAACATCACATCGACCGAGCTTCCAGTGTCGATGAACACCCTCTTCACGTCGAAACCCGCTACCTCTGCCGTGATGACCAACGCGTCATTATGGGGCAATAAAACCCCCTCCGCATCTTCTGCACGAAAGCTGATTACTGGCATTCGACCAGTTATCCCGACCTCCTCCCTTATGCACTTCAGTGCTCGTACATGCCCCTTTCGTGCATTGTTCGAGTCTCCATCGGTGGGCCCTCCTGAGATCATATAAATTATACCTCTCTTCGCGGGCATCTCCCCCCTCGGCCCTTATCGACCATTGTCCTGTCACCTTCTCCTCTCCCTCCTAGTGTCATCTTCTCTGTCGTCGTTCCTATCACTCCGCGCTACTGAGTCCTCCCTGCACCTTCGTCTCTCCTTACCTCGTGGTCGATCACGGATGACAAACTCTTTCAAGTGTCCCGCCCATATGAGACGCTCAATTTCGTCTTCCAAGTGCCTACAATCCTCCGTGTTATGTCCATAATCTCTATGGAATCTGCAGTATTTATTCGACCTGGGTTTGGTTGGTCCTTCAAACCTCGTCGTCGGCCACGTGATCTCCTTGCTCTCCAGCTTCTCCTCGATGGCAGCCAAGACTTCGCCCACCTGGGTGTTGATAGGAGTAAAATGGTTATATCTTTGGCCATTCGGTAACCGGGGTCGTCCTTGCCAGTGATCTTCTCGTCCTCCACGGAATGAATTTCGCCCATCCCTTCTGGGCGACAGCTTCTTAGATGAGCCACCTTTTGGAGAATTCTTTCTAGGTGATCCCCTCCTGGGCGAGCCCAGCCTTTCTTTCCCTTGCTCAGGTTTCGCCACCTCCTCGAGCTTGGCAAATTCAGCCTCTGTTTCTTCCAAATTGATGTACTTCTTGCATATTTTAAGCACCTCATCGTAAGTTCGAGTAGGCATCTTTGCTAATGACGTACGACATGGCCCTGGTCGTAGACTCCTAATCAATCCTCCAGCTTTCACCTCGTCGCCCGCCGTGGGCACCTCTAAGCACATCTGATTGTATCGAGCAACATATTTCCGCAGAGACTCTTTCTCGCCTTGCCGCATTGCCATCAGAGTGAGATACGTCTTCTTTTGCGCGACCGCACTTGAATATTGGTTGGTAAGCTGCCCTGCAAAATCCTCAAAGTCTCTGATCGAACCGGGAGCTAATTGATGGAACCAGTCGAGCGCGTCTCCTCGTAAGGTCGATAGGAAAGCCCTGCAACTTACCAGATCTGAATACCCGTGCAAGACGAACATGTTTTCAAACGCCCTCACATGCCTCGACGGATCGCTCGACCCATCAAAGATAAGATTTATCTCCCGGAAACTCGCGGGCGATGGTGCAGCTAGAATTTTCCTCGAGAACGGATGTCCTCGAGCACGCCTGTCCGGCCTTCCCTCCACTTTCTCTTGCAGCTGTCGGAGTTGCTCAGCCATCCTCTCCATTGTCCTATCTCTGGGTTCTCCTCCTCCTCCATAACTTGACACGTCCTCCTCTTGAGTCCCCGGTACCGTGGTCGGTATGGTAGCAGCCTGAGATGTCTGGTGATTGACCTGCTGCACAGCTTGCACCGCCGCGTTGGCCATCATCCTCTGCATCTCTTCCCTCGTCATGGTCACCATTTGTTGAGCAGGGGGTTGCGGTGCTCCTCCTGTTGGTGGTGCCATCGTCTGTGCCAATGGTCCGACCTATTGCGCGCACAACCGGACCTGCTTGCAACGGCGCAAGGGCCACCGTCGGGATTGCTTCACGAGTTTCGTGTCCTCTACTCGTGCCTTCTCCTCCACCTGGAATCGCCGCACTTTGAGGCATCGGCGTTGGGGTTATCGGTGTTTGTGATGGCCCAGAGAAACCAGGTGGAGGACCCATTCCCATCGGTCTGTCCGTCGTCCACGCCTCGTCGAACGACGACTGCAAATTCACTCGAGGAATTCCGTCCGCCATAGCTGAGCTCAGAACACAACTTTTCGAACAGAAGTTCTACATACGGCGCCAATAATACAAGTCTCGCACCCCGACCGGCTGGAAATCGCCTCAAGCTCGTTCTCCTCGCCGGTTGAACACGGAACCTACACGAAACTCCCACACCGGAGGTTTTTTTCGGTGAAGAGCCTCCAACGCTCAAGTCAGATCTTGAGAGAGAAAGTATATGAGTAAATATGTGAGAGTATGAGAAAAATTGTATCGAAAAGTGAGGATTCTCGTCCCTATTTATAGGGACGAGCTACATGTTCTACACGCGTGGGTAGGGCGTGGTCGTACAGAATTGATCGAACAGCAGAATGCACAAGGGAATCTCCAGCATGTGAGAGGGGGACACGCGGCTATGAGTGGCTTATGGTTGGCCAAACTCGCCCTACCCGCGCGTGTAGAACAGGTAGCTCGTCCCTATAAATAGGGACGAGAATCCTCACTTTTCGATACAATTTTTCTCATACTCTCACATATTTACTCATATACTTTCTCTCTCAAGATCTGACTTGAGCATTGGAGGCTCTTCATCGGAAAACACCTCCGGTGTGGGAGTTTTGTGTAGGTTTCATGTTCAACCGGCGAGGAGAACGAGCTTGAGGCGATTTCCAGCCGGTCAGGGTGCGAGACTTGTATTAGTGTGTCTTTATAAAGAAATCACATGATGGACTTGTGATAATTGATGTCTATGTTGATGATCTTAATATTATTGGGACAACAAATGAAATTCGAGAAGCAGTCATTTTCCTGAAAGACGAATTTGAAATGAAAGATCTCGGAAAAACCAAATATTGCCTCGGCTTACGGATAGAGAGAGTACAAAATGTGATATTTGTCCATCAATCTAACTATACTAAAAGAGTACTGAAACGATTTAATATGGACAAAGCTAATCCCCTTAGTACTCCGATGGTTAACCGAACATTGGATGTTGAAAAGGATCAATTTCGACCTTGTGAAGAAAATGAAGATGTACTTGGTCCTGAGGTACCATATATGAGTGCAATAGGGGCTCTTATGTATCTTGCTAATTGCACCAGACCGGATATATCTTTTGCTACCAACTTACTAGCAAGATATAACTCGTCACCTACGAGGAGACACTAGAATGGAATCAAGCATATATTCCGATATCTCCAAGGAACAATCGATCTGATATTATTTTACTCAAATGATAAAAAACATGAAATGATTGGTTTTGCAGATGAAGGATATTTATCAGACCCACATAAGGCGAGATCTCAAACTGGCTACGTTTTCACTATTGGTGGAACTGCATTTTCTTGGCGTTCTCAGAAACAAACACTAGTTGCTACATCTTCAAACCATCCTGAAATCATTGCACTGCATGAAGCAACTAAGGAAAGCATCTGGCTCAGAAACATGACTCAACACATTCAACAAGCCAGTGGATTATCGAATAATAAAGACCCGACGGTGATATTCGAAGACAATGCATCATGTGTCGCTCAGATCAAAGAAGGATACATCAAGAGTGACAGAACTAAACATATCCCACCAAAGTTCTTCTCATACACTCAAGAGCTTGAAAAGAACAAACAGATCAAGATTCAATACATCCGATCAAGTGATAACGCAGCAGATTTATTTACAAAGGCACTCCCAACTACAACATTTCGAAAGCATGTCCATAACATTGGAATGAGACATATTCGAGATTTGCATGGATGATAACTCGTGGGGGAGCATGTGCGGCTGTACTCTTCCTTATCTCGGTTTTTTTCCCATAGAGTTTTTTCGGATAAGGTTTTTAATGAGGCAACATAAACGCACGTTGCATAGTGATTATTCTAAGGAGGAGTGTTATAAAATTAGCAAGTGGAATGAACCACTATGCACTCACATTGCACTGTTTGTAGGGATGTGAATAGTAAATTAGGTATGGAGAGATGAATGATTTGTATAAAATTGTCGGTAGAAGTTGTCTATAAAAGGCATTATAAATGAAGTGAAAAAATGCTCAATTCAAAAGAAGAAAAATATTCAGTATAATTTATATCCGTTTCCAATTTTCTGTTCTTTTATCTTTCACATTTTTATAACAAAATCTTTGATATTCTCGCCTTACAATATAAGCCAGCTCAGCTCCATTCGTGAAGAAGTTTCACAAATGGAGTCGCTTCTTTGTTCAAATTTTTTAATTTCATCAGCTCATGCAATATTCCGGACAACTTATTCCATAAAACGATGTCGGAACAAATCGGTGGGGAGAAATTTTCAGTCTTCTCCCCTTGTTGTCCGTTCGAAAAGGTCTAGCTATCAAGGTACTATACCCTTATGCGTAATTCAATTTTTTTTTTTTTTTTTTTTTGTTTTTTGGGAAAAGTGCATATAATTTGTGCATTTTCTTTGTTATTCATGCGTGAAAGAGCGAAAATTGTTGTGAATGCTTTTGTTGCAACTTAGGCGCGCGCTGTTATTGTTAATATTTGGATTATTTATGATTTATGATCAAGTGTATTGATTTTTAGGATTAATTTAGTGTTTGGGTGTCATAAGAGTTTGGACATTGTTTTCCATTTGTACTATTGTTGTTGTTCTTGACGATAAGGAAAAGAAGTTTGATGGCTGTCAGCAATCAACATATGGGAAAACTGCTCCTGTTTTAAGATTAGTGTGAAAAAAGTTGTTTCGAAAACAAATTAGACTGTGTGTAGTTGGAAATGAGATAAAAAAAAAGTGTAACTTTACTGTTGATTTGGTGATTTTTTTTTAGTGAAATAGTGGAATGTTGTCGTCAATTGGTCGATACGAGCGACTCAAAAGTCGATGAGTGTATGCTTGTTTTTTGAGGGGAAAAGAAGGTGTACAATTTGATTGATTATATATCATATTTTCGTGACCTTTTTTTACGGCATATCAATATATACAATTGTTTATTTGGCCTTCTGTTTGTGCTTTCATTAAACCAAAGACAGTGTTTTGATTTAGATTTTCAGGAGTACGCCAAACCGTCACAACTGTTACCAGCTACAGAAGTTAGGGATTGTAAGGATGCCTCAGTTGGGAAGATGGTTTCTTCTTTTGTGTCTGACAAATCAGTCTCCTTGTTCAAAGTCGAGATACAGACAAGTAAAATTTACGGGTCAGGTCTTTGTGACATGAACTCCTTGATTTTATTGTGTTTGATTGACGAGGATGGTCGTGCGATTTTACAAAGATTACCTGCTACTTCATTTGGAGCTACTGATATCGATGATGTTTTGCATTTTCAAAGAGGCGCTGTTGATGAATTTGCTTTTGTGGGGCCCAATATTGGGAAAATTGCAGCCGTTTGGATCAGCTTGAATTCAGGTTAGTCTTTTTTTCAGAACATATAAGTTATTTTGTGTTGTATAAATGGTTTTGAACACCTAATCTTTTGATACTCATTTGGCTGCATATATATTTGTACATTCCAAAATTGGCATTTGAAAGAAATGAGGGAATCAGACATTACCTTAAAATTAGTCTAATGATGACAAACAAGTATTGATTGTGCCAAAAATCATAGAGGATACTTATGGGTCGTGTGTGGATGAGAAATGGATAAAGGGAATTTTTGGTTTCATATCCCTGTTTTTTGTGATAACTTCTGGTTACTCGAGTAGCTGACTGTGGCTCTTTTCTCCGTGAAACAATTATATATAATTATCTAGAGTGGAAAATGTTAGTCCATTTGGAGCTGGGAGAGTCAATGTTGACAATTCTTCTGGCATCGTGCAAATAATGGACTAGATCAAAATGACTCAATTAAATTCTAGTGCTTCTTCTATTAGTGAAGTTTCTAGAAAAAATATATCAAACGACGCAACGCACCTTGGGTCGCTATGGAAACAGCCTCCTTGTATAATTACAAGGGTAAGGTCTGCGTACAACTGACCCCCCAGACCCCAACCTGTTTGGGAATATACTGGGTATGTTGATGTTGATGATGATGATCTAGAGTGGAAAATGTTTAATGCTGTACCAGTAGACGAGATTGTGGAACGCATAATGTCTTTTTTTTTAACACTTTCAGATGAACAACAAAATCGAAATCCTGTGCTCGACATGTGCTGCTTTTTCAGTATGAAGAACATAATAAGCACTGTAACACGATTAAATTTCTCTAAAGCAAACACTCAGCATAGAAACAGAAATTCCAAGAGTATAAAAAACTAAACTTGATTGATCTGAAATCCATCCTACACATAGATAAGGATTTACATTTAAATACCATGATTACATCCAAATAACAGTTTCTTTTACTTGTGCTCTTTATTCTCGGTTATAAAGGATGTGATTTACTATCCACACGCCTTTTGTTTTATGTTCAAAATTCGTTTTCTCCTTTGCTATGAATGTCAGGTCAATGGAGAATAGGTGGCATAAGTTTGACTGTCAGCTCTCATAGTCAACCTTCATATCTAGAAAATACCCCCGAAAACAAACCTCTAACCAGTTTACAGTACGATTTCGAATGCGAAGACATCTTGCTTGGCGAGAAAAGTGATGCTCCTATGATGGAATTCAGACCTCGATCAATAACCTCATTCTCGGACAACGAGTCAACCTTATTTGATTCCACGAATGCACCACCCTCCTTCGATAGACCCACCGCAGCATATGAGCAAAGCATGAAGGAATATTCGTACCTAAAATTCTCGTTGTTATTATACGACACGGTGCTGATTCTGGCAGGTTCCACATTTGCGTATTTCTCGGTTGGTGAAAATGCTTCGTTCGTGTTCTTGGTGGGTGGACTGTTCGGATTCTTTTATCTGTTATTGCTGCAAAAGTCGGTAGATGGTATATCGGCTCAGGATTTCGTCCCAGGTGAGGATAGTGAGAGCTCTGGTCAAGTTTTCGGAAGTTTGAATCTGAAGGGGCCCATTTCGAGCCTGGCACTGGCATTTGCATTTGCTGTAGCGGCTTTGAAGTATGGCTTGGGTGAGGGTGCTGTTAGGTTGACCCCAAAAGATGTTATATTTGGGATGATGGGATTTCTCATGTGTAAGGTGTCGGTGGTGTTGGCTGCGTATAAGCCGGTGAGCCTTAGTTTACGAGATAAGAAATAGATTCTGCGATTTCTCGCATTGTTATGCATACATTTTGTACATAGTTATGTAATTAGGTAACTGGAAGAATGGTTGCCAAGCGCTTAATTACAAAATTGCATTTGGCATTTAACATAATAACGAAAAACCCCCATATCTTTCGAAATATGACAGATCGATACCCCTTGATATTTTTAGCTTTGTATTTCAATATTCTTGAGAAAGTGCAGAAACGCTCAAAGGGGTTGTTTGTGATAGTTTGAGGGCTATTTGTACCTTTTATGAAAATTAACTCAAATGTGTTCATGCTAGCTATTTGAGCTTTACTGATGGAGAAAAAAATTACTAAAGGCCAGCCTTATAGTTTCACGTCTCTTGATATTTTTCTACAGTCCAGTTGTAAATACCCATGATTCTGATAATGGTCTAACTTTGAATTTTTTTTTTTTTTTTTTTTTTTTTTTTTTTTTTATATGGTTTGATACTAGTCGATGACAACTACTTTATCTATTTGCACTTAATGGTTTCATTTTAATTTAATGTGGTAAATTATTTTATTTTATTTTATTATATAGGTACGTGATTTGAAAATGTCAAAATGATTAGTTATTCGATAAGATGTTTTAATGTGTGGATAATTAAATATTTCAATTTGCTAATATACGTAATTGTCACCGTGACTTGGATTAGAGCGCATGGCATTTGTCAATTATCACCACGGCTTGCTTTGTCCTTTTTGTAATTAGGTGCTTTAGCATTTTCTCTCTTTTTATACAATGCCTGTTAGATATTTTTTTTTTTTTT